CCTTCTTCTGTTTATGTTTTCACTCAGTTAACAAACTACATCCACACCTTCGTAAGTTTTCCTCACTCGAAGACCATTTACTTGTTCATGATTTATCTCACCTTAATTAAAACGTCTGTATGTTTATGTTCTTACTTACTTGACATTGTGTTTCGACATCAGCGTATAGACCTGCGTATAGCTGGTCTTTACACGAGAAAGACGTTTTAGGAACTTCCTTATAATCAGGGTAGTCAACGCCGGGCTGACCATGGACTCCTGTCATTCCTCCATCACCGTTTCCATCCTCATCCCACCGTTTCACCTGTTTTCAAAATACAACAACTGTTCTGAAATGAAGCAAATTCTAAGAATGTGTTTTGTAGTTAAGAATCTAAAGACGAACCCTAACGATTTCTATATCATGTTTCTTTTATCTGTCTGTCTATCTAGCTCGTTTAGATAGAATTCTAATATTTTGATTAAAGGAAATTTGACCTTAAAAACTAAAATTTATTAGGAAACGTGCAAGCTTTCTCGTTGCAGTGATAAAAAAAAGATAAACAACCTTATTTGTTCTTTAACAAGAGAAAAGAATAAATTCATAAACATTACATCTACAACGTGCAGTCTACCGATTTCTGAAACCGGGAACCGACTGTTTCCGTTGCATAATTAGTCTAGGAAAATATTCTCTTGTTTTAAGATTCGTTCAACATCATTTAAGGAAAAGGTCCGACTTGACTTTCTGTTAACATAAACTTTTCTGATCATTTACATTTATATTGTAAATTCAAAATATCGCAGTGTTTCAAAGACACTTTTTTTTCAGGGAACAGTACACTTCCAGCTAGTTTTTGAACGACACTTTTTTTTAGGGAACCTTACACTTTCATTATACTTTGATTAGTGTCCAACTAGTGGCAGTCCCATGATCCTGAAGCTAGGCTCGAGGACGGGCCTTGTTTGGGAGAGAGGAAGAATGTAGTAGTTTGAGTTTATAAATAAAAGGTACCTTACTAGGGGCTAGCTCTTTAAATAAGTTGAATATTCTCGGGTTCAAAGAAACAAAATACCACATACATTTATTTAATAACACTACAATAGGTTTCCTAAACATTTTATACTGAAGTAAAGTAAACTTTTTATGGCAGATAATTTTCCCCCCATTTTTACGTGTACAGTAGGTTTCATGCATGTTTATTAGCTGATAGTTTTGCCTCTTTTAATAAAACTGTTTACTTATATATATATAACTGATTAGAATGTTTAATAAAGCTTACAAAAGTTCAGAACATTGTGGACGTTTCTGTGCAAAAACAGATAACAATGTATTACACACTTTCTGACTGGATATTACTGAATGAAATTACTATTATATGACGTAATCAAAATCCGTCGTGATTTTGATGGCTTTTCTGAATGCTGCATGATTCAAAGGCTAAAAAAACAACAACAAAAACTGCTAGCACGATTTTTGTTTGGAACACATCTTAAGATGTTTAAAGGATTATCTCTCTCAGAAAATCACCTTTTCCTTAAAGAATTTTTAAGAAAATCTGAAAATCCAACTTATTCTTCCCAGACGAAATGTATAAAACAGTTCTCAAACTAATTAATAAAAGTGCATTTCTAGCCCCTTCACCAAATAAAACATTTTTTTTTCTGAAATTCAAATACAAAAATACAGAAGAACTAAACACAATCATTTTAGTCCTTCAAAGTAGACGTGAGCTGAATTACTCACAGGGATACTGAGAATTGATTCCATTAAATCTTGTAATTAGGTAAGTAAGAAAAAATAAATGTTATATTTATCGTTACTCAATGAGCTGACCGAAACTCATATGTCTTTTTTTATAAGGGTTATTTTTCTAGAAAAATAAAAACAGGATTTTTACTTAATTTGGTGCATTTTCTGAATAGGAGAATTATCAAAGACAATTTTCACTGCCCCCAGTGGCACAGCGGTATGTCTGCGGACTTACAACGCTAGAAACCGGGTTTCGATACCCGTGGTGGGCATAGCACAGATAGCCCATCGTGTAGCTTTGTACATAACTACAAACAAACAAACAATTTTCACTGCCTAGAGTAGCTCGCATATTTTGATAAACAGCACGAAATTAGTCAAACAACAAAGAAAAACTTTTAAATTTGTAAGATTGGTTAAAGTAAATCGGATATTTTAAAAACTATGTGGAAAGCCGGTTTGGTTTGAATTCGCGCAAAGCTACACGAGGATATGCGCTATCCATCCCTCATTTAGCAATGAAAGACAGCTAGTCATCACCGCCAACTCTTGGACTACTGTTTTACCAACGAATAGTAGGATTGTGTACAAGTACATTAATTGTAATAAAATCTTCAGTAAAAAATCGTACCCAAATTTTACTGAATTTCGAAATGATATTTACATGTTGTAAATTTTTATGAGATGTTTAGTATGTAATAAATATTTCAATGAAAAAAATCTACACGAGGGCTATCTGCGCTAGCCGTCCCTAATTTAGCAGTGAAAGACTAGAGGGAAGGTAGCTAGTCATCTCCACCAACTCTTGGGCTACTCTTTTAATAACGAATAGTGGGACTGACCGTCATATAATAACGCCCCCACGGCTGAAAAGGCGAGCATATTTCGTAGGACTGGGATTACGAGCTCGCGACATAGATTACGAGTCGAACGCCCTAACCACCTGGCTATGATAGGCCGTGGAAACTGCCGGAAAATATCTTAAAGTTTCAAGTTTAGACCATTCATTTAACTGATCTATACTTTTTTTTATAATATTTAGACAAGAGCATTCGAAGTTTCAAGTTTAGATCCATTCATTTAACTGATCTATAATTTTTATAAATTTATAAGTTTATTCAAATATATTTCCTGTGGGTTCTAATTTAAACTACACGAAGTACACACCGTGGATAACGAAGCTGCATTTTTCTGAAGAGATACTAAACAGAGTGTCGAAACACTATAAGTGAAAGTGATGTTCCTAACTTGAATTTGTGACGTAAGTATGCAAGATGATATTGCGTATATGCAGCTTTTGATGGTTTTGTTGTTGTTGTTTTAAACGAATATATAGAAGGAAATTTATGTATTATTTGTGCTGTCTCACTTTTCTTAGTCGCTTAGTGACCTAAATAATGATACGAAGAGCATACATCCTCTTCTTTCTTTGGCACGATCCTGGAAATGTCGTTATTACACAGATAACATATCTCCATCTCTTATATAATCCTAATATGATAACAATGGACTTTCTGCCAATTTATTTAAACACTTAATGTAAGAGTCTACTCATGGAAGCATTCCTACCACTATAACGATTAAAGCTTCAATTTAAATGTCCAAAACTGACAACAGAAACAGAAACGTGACACAGTCAACGTTTCACCAGTATCATCATGGCAACAGGCAACAATGAATCCACGCTTATAAAAAGTTAAATAAAAAGTCTTAATCAATGAGAATAGTTTCTGCTTTAGCTAACCCGTATAAGTTCAAAATTGAATACGTTGCCCTTAATTTCGCCCTTTGTACTTGTATTAGAATGGTCATTTAAGCAATGAAAATGCTAATAATTTGTTTACATTTATAAATCAAATTCACTCTAGCCTTACCGTTACAAAAGAAATAGAAGTCAGCGATAATTATCTTGTAAATGTCTCGAGGGTTCAAATCCCGTCGTGAACATGCTTGTCCTTTCAGCCGTGAGGACGTTATAATATGACGGTTAATCCCACTATTCGTTGGTAAAAGAGTAGCCCAATAGTTGATGGTGGGTGGTGTTGACTAGTTGGCTTCCCTCTAGTCTTTCACTGTTAAATTAGCGACGGTTTGCGAAGACAGCCCTTGAGTAGCTTTGCACGAAATTCAAAACAAAAAAAAACAAACTGTTCGCAAAATTGATTGAGGAAGCCTACCCGCTTTATTCACTTCAAAGCTTGACACTTGTTTCAACAAAAAATGTATAATTTTGAAAACGTTATTACATTTTGGAAACTTGAGTTACAATAATCAATAAGGTCTTAAAATGGAATCTAAGTTCTCCAGAAAGTGTTTAGTGAAATTATTGAATATCCTGCTTAAGTTTGAATTAAAATTTAATGATTTTTTACAAACAATTCTAACCCTGTGGTGAGAAACAGTGACTTCGCTATTTTTTGTTTGTCTTATAACCCAAACTGTGCCGAACTAATGAGATGTGCTTGATCAAATGTCGACAAAAATATAATGTTAAATTTCCTGTAAAATTTACATTTAAAACGAGTAAGAACTTACGCTCTTTGATCTCTAAAAATAACATAGATAAAAGGAAAACAAACTGTGTTTATAGAGTAGATATTTAGATTGTGATGATTTTTACCTTGGTGAAATGGAGAAGGTAATAAGTGTTAGACACACATGCCTCAACCATCACATGTCTTTGAACATTTAAAGTTAAGTCATCAAAAGTTAAGCCTTGATAATAACCAGGTTGTAGATTAAGACGAAGCAAAATTAAAAAATAAAGTGTTCGTTTTTATTCAGAAGTATAAATCAAACAATAGTGAGCATCGAGGAGGATTTCTTAATTTGTTTAATGGACTAATCCACGTCTAACTGACTGTTTAATGAACTAGTCCACGTCTAACTGTTTGTTTAATGAACTTGTCCACGTCTAACTGACTATTTAATGAACTAGTACACGTCTAACTGACTGTTTAATGAACTAGTCCACGTATAACTGTTTGTTTAATGAACTTGTCTACGTCTAACTGACTATTTATGAACTAGTACACGTCTAACTGACTGTTTAATGAACTAGTCCACGTCTAACTGACTGTTTAATGAACTAGTCCACGTCTAACTGACTGTTTAATGAACTAATCCACGTCTAACTGTTTGTTTAATGGACTTGTCCACGTCTAACTGACTATTTAATGAACTAGTACACGTCTAACTGACTGTTTAATGAACTAGTCCACGTCTAACTGACTGTTTAATGGACTAGTACACGTCTAACTGACTGTTTAATGAACTAGTACACGTCTAACTGACTGTTTAATGAACTAGTCCCCGTCTAGCTGTTTGTTTAATGAACTAGTACACGTATAACTGACTGTTTAATGGACTAGTACACGTCTAACTGACTGTTTAATGAACTAGTCCACGTCTAACTGACTGTTTAATGGACTAGTACACGTCTAACTGACTGTTTAATGAACTAGTACACGTCTAACTGACTGTTTAATGAACTAGTCCACGTCTAGCTGTTTGTTTAATGAACTAGTACACGTCTAACTGACTGTTTAATGGACTAGTACACGTCTAACTGACTGTTTAATGGACTAGTCCACGTCTAACTGACTGTTTTTTTACAGTTACTGATTTTTAAAATCCTTATGTATGTGTGATGACGTAGTTAACCTGGTGAAAGGTTCGTTGCCTGTTATATGCTTCTGTTTATGTTCTTAGTCTTAGCTGTTGAAATACGCAGTTTTTCTGTTGGTTTGTTTATTTTATTATTAGTTTAAAATTCCCTTCGGATAAGTTAAAGAACAAGTCGTCCATATAATAATTCGAGTGTTTTGGATGTCAAGTGATTAAATTCCCTAACTTTAAAGGTCAAACCCTTTGGCTTCAGCCATTATGATTATCCTAAAGCTAAAGCACGGTGTTATATAACTAACATGTTGTTAAGATCGTGTTACATAACTAACATCTTGATAAAAAGTATGAAATTGATCTTCTTTACTTGCCAATACCTATTCTTAGATATTTCTAAGCTTGTATATAAAAAAATATTACTTTTCAAATAAAATTAGAAAGCATTGTTACAATTTATTGAATGAGAGTTATAATTTAAAAAAAGATTGAGATTTGTGTGGGTCAAAAGAAAATAATGTGGTTGACATTACTTAAACAGTGAGGTTTAGTGGGTCAACAGGAAGGATTTGTTTGTTTGTTTGTAATTAAGCACAAAGCTACACAATGGATTATCTGTGCTCTGCCCACCACGGGTATCGAAACTCGGTTTCTAGCGTTGTAAGTCCGAAGACATAACGCTGTACCACTAGGGGTCAACATGAAGGAATCAGGTTTACATTACTAAAACAGTGAGATTTAGTAGGTTAACAGAAAAGAATTTGGATTACATTACTAAGACATCGAGATTTAGTGGGTCAACAGGAAGAAACCTGGATTACATTACTACAAAACTGAGATTTAGTGGATCAACAGAGAGAAATCTATATTAAAATACTAACACATTGAGATTTAGTGGGTCAACGGGTATGAATCACAATTACATTACTAAAAATATAAAACTTATTTTACTCACTCTGTTTCCTTGACACAATGACAGCAAGCCTAAAATGAAATTACAAAATACAAATTGAAAGATTTACATTATATACTTAATATTAGAATATAATTATATATGTATATATATTTACACCCACAAACAGACACATTTGTAGTTACCCAATAATAATTTTTTTAACTCTTCAAATGTAGTTCTTTTAGTTCACCGAAAAAAGGTGTATTTTATAATCACGAACAATGTCTGTATTGAGATATCAAAAGTGTGATTAGAATTTATACAATCCAACAGTGATATTCCTAGATCACACCATCTAACAGTGATGTTCTTAGATCACACCATCTAACAGTGATGTTCCTAGATCACACCATCCAACAATGATGTTCCTAGATCACACCATCCAACAGTGATGTTCCTAGATCACGCCATCCAACAATGATGTTCTTAGATCACACCATCCAATAATGATGTTCCTATATCACACCATCCAACAATGATATTCCTAGATCACGCCATCTAACAGTGATGTTCTTAGATCACACCATCTAACAGTGATGTTCCTAGATCACACCATCCAACAATGATGTTCCTAGATCACACCATCCAACAGTGATGTTCCTAGATCACGCCATCCAACAATGATGTTCTTAGATCACACCATCCAACAATGATGTTCCTAGATCACACCATTCAACAGTGATGTTCCTAGATCACAGCATCGAACAATGATGTTCTCAGATCACATTGATGTTACTTTAAGTATATTTTGAAGACTACCTTTCGGTTTCCGTGAATCTATTCTTTCATAAACTTTTACTCTTCGTCAGTTTTATCTAGAGCCTTATTATTATTTTATCGAAAAGATAAAACGTTTACGACAAACAATTACCTTTCTCGTGAAAAATATTTCTTTTGTACACATTACTCCTGGCAATATACAATTTCAAAATGTACTTTGCGAGGTTCAGTCCACGGATTAAAAACACACACACACAAACAAATATAATTAAAGTTGTAATGGGTTAAAAAGAATACAGTTCATTCTAAAATGTTGAAACCAATCAAATAATTTGATAAATTACTTCATTAAATGTGTACAGAGTATACAATGTTTTCCCTGAACTAACCCTACAGGTAAAACGATGAATAGGTCACAAATGTTGAAGTTTATAACAAAGCATGTGCTTTCATAAAGATCCTTTTAATTAACAGCGTTTATACTACTATTTTTCATCAATGACGTTTGAAAGCGTAATATGCAGAAGCTAATGTGAGGAGACAGACGGAATCTTATTATTCGAGCTTGAGAAAATTTGCTTTGGCAAGACAACTAGTGGGATTTATTTTCATGAAGAGCGATGAAAAACATAAAGTTAACTACCCTAAGTGGGGGATAATAGGATCCATTATCGGCGTAATGTTATAAGAGGAAGAAAGATAATATACTGATATAGCAATAGATAGATGCGAAAGAAAAAGGGGGTTCGGCATTTTTATGTTTTTCGGAATACAATGTTCATTTCCTCTCAGTAGTTTGCCATTTTACAATATCAGAAATGATTTTTTTTAGAAACAAACGAACAGTTTCAGTATTTCAAGTAAGTAAGAAATGATGGTTATATGATGTTTTATTGATAAATCCGGCCAAGTGGGAATAACGCTTCTTCTCAATTCTAAATATAAGATTACTAATGTAACCCGAATCCCATTTCCTTGTCAAAAACACGTCTGCTGAATGTTAATGCATCATCTGAAACAAGATTTTTGCAAGATTCTGGTTTGAATTATTAGTGTTAGATTTGAAATAAGTCAGTGCTTATTGTTTGCAGTTTCACATCAGAAATAAGCAGTGTTTCGAAACAAGTAAAATACCATTAATGTAAACATGCAACAAATTCTCTAAAAGCACAGTGCAGTATTTATTATTTAAAACAAGTATTATAATATATTTCACATAAGTCATCCTATACGACGCTCATTGAAGCATACAATGTGTTGTAATAAACATGACTGTGTTTATCAAGAGAACGTTACAAACAACGATAAGCACTGAATAAACCATATTTACGCAAAAGATAGTTTAAATTTTTCTGAAACTTCACTTTATAGTTTATGTTTCGCTTACCTACTATTACCAAACAAGAACTGGTCGTCTTCATATTGGTGGTTTTTGCTATTAAGTTACTTTTTTATTTATCTGACAGCTTTCAGAACAAAAACCGTGGTATCTGAAAAAAAAAAAAGATGGTAATACTCACTTTGTTATTATAGAGGTCGTTTTGTTGTTAACTGATTAGTAAATATAAAACATTTTTGAAAAGTCTGAAACAGTTATACTAATATTTGTCGTAAATACTTTTTAGGGCGATCTAAGATTTGTGACAAGTTCACAATTATCAATTTCTGTAATAGTTCAATTACGTTTTCTCATTAAAGATTTCAAAGGCGTTAAAACAGAATCTATCACAATGAAATAACGTTAATTAAAAGTTATGACGCACAATATCATACACATAAATCGAAAGAAAATTATCACCACTGTATGATAGTTTCTAACAGTGTAGGGAAAAAATGGAGCTCGTTTAACCCTTAGCCAAAGAAATACGCAATTTGTTTAATGACATTCCTGTTTGTTGCTCAAGTTTCACACCATTCTTAATTATGTTGGGTCCGGCATGGCCAGGTGGTTAGGGCACTTGGTTCGCAATCTGAGGGTCGCGGGTTAGAATCCCTATCTCATCAAACATTCTTGCCCTTTCAGCCGTGAGGGCGTTATAATGTGACGGTCAATCCCACTATTCGTTGGTAAAAAATTAGCCCAAGAGTTGGTGATGGGTGGTGATGACTAGCTGCCTTCCCTCTAGTCTTTCACTGCTAAATTAGGGAAGGCTAGCGCCGATAGTCCTCGTGTAGCTTTGCGCGAAATTCAAAACCAAATTTAATTATGTTATCTTTGTGAAGAAGAAGTTTGATAAAAACAATCTGACTAAAATATTGGATATTTGGAAATATTATTTTGTTACTATGAATATCATAATAATAAAAACGTAGCAATGGTACTTAGTTGTTTTAAAGTTACAGGAATTCCCTATAGCTACGTGACATTCTGCTAATGCCTTTATGCAAGTATTTTGTTTTTGCTTAACGCTAAAGATTTTTAAAATCCATTCTATAAAGTAGATTCCTCTTTGGTGTCTGAAATTGTCTTATTTAAAAATGTAAAAATAACTGTAAGTTTCGAGACTATCATAAGTGACGTTGTATAGTTTGGAAGCTTTTCTTTAAAGAGATGTAATTTAAAAACAAATGTTAAATTGTTTATGGCTCTGATTTTTAGTGTGTTTTCTTTTCAGAGTAAATATGTAAAAACAACTCGACTACCAATAACATTGACTCCTATTCCGAAGATGTTTTTAGAAAATTAAACTTACAACACATAGTTAATGTGTATATTCATATAATAATTGGTTTATGTTATAGACCGAGCATGACCTAGTGGTTAGCATGCCAGGTTGTGGATTATGAGAGACCAAGGCATGCGTTTCGATATCACACACACATACACACACACACACACACACACACATACAGCACTGTCTGCACTTTGGGATCTTGGAAGCGTAAGAATAGTGACAGTCAAAAACCCACTATTTTTAGGGAGTAACCCAAGAGATGACGAAACTGTTATGGACTAGCTGCCTTCCCTCTAGTCTATAGGTTGAAAATTAAGGGCAGTACGAATAGCGCAAACAGTCCTTCTATAGCTATGCACGAATATCTGAAACAAATAAACTTTTGTATTACTCTTTTGTAAAACAACCGTAAAGTTTATGTACCTGAAATGCATTTTTATGACCAAGTATAGTAACCATTAAACAAGTTATCTTTACAAATGATAGTGATTCAATATCCAGTAGCACTTCGGTGATCATGATATCATCTTTCTTTAAATTTATCATTTTTTATTGTAAATAATTAAACTTAAATCTCACTAGCCAGTTTTCCCAAGCCCTTACTTTTTATCATTTTAAACCTCTCTAAAATCCCTTGTTTATGTATTTTATTCGTTTTATTCATTTTATAATAATGTATTTTAATTAGTTTATCATAATTTTAACGCTTATCATAACAGACTGAATTAGTTTATCACATTTTAAAAGTTTATCATGTTAAATTTTAACCCCATCATTTGTTGTTCTTTAGCCTTTAAAAAACCTTAAGACATTTCCAAACTTCATAAAGCTCTTGTTTAATAACGTATTTTATGTCTATCTAAAGCTAAGCTCTTGTAACATAACATTTTCCTTAAGTGCCAATGACAAGCACTTCCACTTCTAGTAATTGTTTTTTACAACCGAAGGTTACATTTGTAGATGATACTGAAGTTGATTTGATATTTATGCTATCTTATTTAGACATTTGGCCAACTTTCCAGAAATGAACTTATATGTGTTTAATTGTTTGTTTGTTTTTGAATTTCGCGCAAAGCTACACGAGGGCTATCTGCGCTAGCCGTCCCTAATT